ATAGCCTGACTTTCCTTAGAGCCCGAGTAGTCCAACATATTGGCGGTCCAGACGCCCACTCCTCGCAACTGCTTATAGTTAGCGAACCCAACCTTCAGGGACAGGCTGTAGGGGTTGTCGTACCAGATCTGTCGGGTCGTGTTTGTCGTATCCTATGATATAACAATAATTAGTTTAATTTTTGGTAATTATTGATTAAAGTTTTTGAATAAGAATCTCTATCTCTCAATTATTTAGTCAATTATTAAATCATAATTATAAACTGTAAATTATATTTAACGCAAATATAAGCTTGTTAAATATTATTTAATTAATTAATATTTTGGCTCTGAACGACAAAATGAATTAATTTATTATTGTTTTTTTGTTAGTTTTAAAGTTTAAATGTAAAAGCCAACTGTCCCTTACATTGAAATACGCAAACCTAGACTTCGAGTGCTCGTCCCACGTGTCCCCATAGGTGTCGACCACTTTCATGATCTCCACGTACGGCACCTGAGTTCCGGCCGCATCACTGCATTTAACCCCCCGGAAGGGCACCTCTTTTATATAGCACGTACGCTCGGGACCAGTCTTAATGCACGTGTAGTCGTACCCATACCAGGGCAACCCCAACACCAGTTTGTTGGGTTCAATACCAAGCTTCAGGTATGCCATTATACCCCCAGCCGTATCGTAGAGGGCAGAGTTGGCCTGAGCCGTGCAGTCGGAGTCAAACACTTGACTTCTCTCGTCATAAGCCATAATGAATAGGAAGTCCGACGCGTCGGCCAGTGCTGTGAAGTTGTAGTTACGGCCGTCGATACCCGTCCCTTAAAATCGCATTAAAAATAGTAAACTTTTGTATAAAAGTGGTTTATACTGTAATAAGAATTTTAAAACTAAATAAAAATATATTAAGTCTTTTGATATCACCAAAAGTATATCAATGTATTAATATATAACCTGGCCACATTTATGATTATACATAATTTACAGCTTGTAATCAATTTTATAATTAAATGAATAAATTAAAATACATGTAACTCCGTTTAAATTAAACAGATTACAAAATGAAAACGTTCAGTGAGATTACCATTGACATTGTATGGACTCCAGGGTACATCGAAAGTGACCTGTGACTTAGGCATAGCCGCGTGGAACCGGTCCCTGCATT